GACTTTTGTAAAAATCCTTTAATTGATAAGAAAAAAAAAGACAAGTTTTTGACAAGTCTTTTATTGTAAAAAATTCCTTCCACTTGCGAAGAACTCCCGCCGCAGAATGGCATTTTGACAGATGCCGGCAACATATAAACAATTGGGTGGAGCTAGCAATGACAGCTAGCGCCGGCCAACTGTTTACAGTTGTACGGCATCTGACAGGTGACTTTGCCCAATCGTGGATCTTACAGAGTAGGTGGTCAGTGGTCAGGTGCAAGGCTTTAGCCAATCAGGGCTCACAAGGGATTGTGCGGTGAACACACGAACTGTCGATGTTCGAGTCGAACTCATGCTCGACTCGAACATCGAGGCCATCCCTAATAGTCACACAATAGTCACCTTAATCCAATCGCCATTGAATGTCCCAAGGCAGATGTTGATTGTCCAAGAATATGACAAAGGATATCAAAGTTTTTAAAATGCAGATTCTAGACGGTTGACCCTATGTGACTATGTTAATGATTTATATATGATATATTCTTTGGTTCACTCTCTTTTTAAAGCAAGACAACTTGGAAAACTCTATTTGTATTTCCAACCTCAAAATCCTTGTAAAAGCAAATGTGTGCTAATTTATTTAAGCCAATTCAAAAGAACCACAATTATAAAGTAGGGATGCACCGTTATATCGGCCGTAAATGGCACTTTTGGCATAATGCCGAAAGTGCCGTTTTCAGGCCTATACAACGTTGCATCCATGAGAAGGAGAGAAGGCGAGAAGGAGAGAAACTATGACAGCCGGCCGAGCGCTGCGGGAGGAGAGCGCTGTGAGCGGCCGACTTCTCTCCTCCCACACCGCTCAGCCTCCTGTCACAGATCGGCAGAGCGGTGTGTGGGCAGAGACAGCCAGCGCTGTCACAGGAGGCTGAGCTCTCCTCCCCGCACCGCTCAGCCTCCTGAGGAAGCAGAGCAAGGTACAAACACTCAGCGATCTCTAAATGTTTGTAAATAATTGAGGACAGGGTATGGTTACTATATCCTCAATTATGAATGAATGGGAAGTGATCTACATCACCTCCTGTTCATTCATAATTGTGGCTATAGTAAACACACTATGGGGTCTATTCACAAAGCTGCCGAAGGATCTGGCCGTAGCTTCGGCCGATCCTTCGGCTAGCTTCGGCCCCAGGACCCCTTCGGTTCAGGAGAACCGAGGGGGTGCTGTACGGGCTATTCACAATAGCCCGTACAGCTCCCGATCATGGCCGAGCGGCTCGGTCGAGCGCTGAGCCGTGCTGAAAGACGAAGCTGGCCGAGCGGCCGGCCATTGGC